TTTGTTCAGCAGTTAAGAAGGTGTAATGAGAACAACATTTTTAAGCAAAAAGGCATAACTTCATAAATAAGGAAGGTAACTCCAATTTATATACTTTAGACACACCTCCTAAATATTAGTGATATATGTAACAAGTATTGTTCAAATCGGTGAAGAACTTTGGATTGAGTAGTGTTAACAAGATGCCCAGAGGGCCTGTATTGCTCACCTAGATATCTAAGCAATAATGGCAAAATATTCTCCTTATAAGATCCAAGAGAATGGGCCAGACCCTAAGGCCAGACCCTAGCAAGTTTATGTATGGTTATGGGGTCGGGATCTCAACTGTTTCCAAGATGTGACTAAGAAACTAGGTCCCTAGGGTTGTGGCCAGATCACCCGGTCAATTCTAATATCATTGCAGCATTTGTCTCTTATATGCCCAACAATTGTATATAGTTTTGGGCAGGTGATCTCAACCATTTCAAAGTTATGACCCAGGGGTTAGTCTCCAAGGGTGGAGCCAGAACCCGGGGCCAACCTGGAAGCATATGTGCATTCTTCTCTTCATACTCAGCAGTTGTATATATGGTTATAGGGTGGGGATCTCAACCATTTCCAAGTAATAAACTTTTTTTTTTTGGGGGGGGGGGGGGGGTCAGCCCAACTATTTGTACCATCTTGAATCCCCACCTCCCATCGGGCCAGGTGAGCTAAAAAATAAAAATAAATATACATTTACGACTTTAGTTTGGTATCAAGACACTATGATTGGACTATTTATGATAGCAGTCACCTGATTCAAAACTGGACAGAATAATTTGGACACTTTGGACACTCAGCAAGAAAAAACCTGAATAATGCCGCCTGTTTGACAAAGGAACTCTTAGATTGGTGATATCACTCAGATGTACTATAATATGTCCCATCTCCGACAGCCATGTAAAAACTACATTATCACGTCAGCTCACGGGGAGGGGCCTGTGTTATATAAACCGTAAGGAAGATGAAGAAGTGTGTATCAGACAATGACAGGCCGCCACGTTGCACAACCGTCTTGATTACTGCAGACAGTGCCTGACTGTTACCGAGAGGCGTCACACACAACATGTTTACAGATAAACATCAAGCCACATCACTATTCTCTTCTAATGCCATTGATCTGGGACCACACAAATGGCACATCTCATTCCTATCCCACAAAACACCATAATTCAACATTGATTTTGTCAGAGAATAGTTATAAAACAAGGTTTCCTTCATAACTGTCATCGAAATGGTGTCATGATCACTTCTTAATCTTAAAGGATAATAGGATCAATATAAAAGAAATTGCAATTAGGTTAGCATTTTGATGATTTTGTTAGTGTTATGAAAATAATTTGAAGTTATAATTCAATGTTGTGTGATACCAGTAAAAAATCAAGATTTACCCCTTCACAAGTAATTATGTGATAAGAACTTTGTCATATTTGATACATGTGATGAACTCCTTTCAGTTAATTAACAGTAAATAAGGTCCTAAACAATGCAGGCAGGTACACAAATAGTGTGAACAAGTACATCACAATGTGAAGTACGTAAGTAAAGTGAACAAGTACATCACAATGTGGACAAGTAAACAAGTAAAGTAAGCAACTACATCAAAATGTGGACAAGTACACAAGTAAAGTGAACAAGTACATCACAATGTAGACAAGTACATAAGTAAAGTGAACAAGTACATCACAATGTGGACAAGTACACAAGTAAAGTAAGCAACTACATCGCAATGTGGACAAGTACACAAGTAAAGTGAGCAACTACATCACAATGTACACAAGTACATAAGTAAAGTGAGCAACTACATCACAATGTGGACAAGTACACAAGTAAAGTGAACAAGTACATCACAATGTAGACAAGTACACAACTAAAGAGAACAACTACATCACAATATAGTACATAAGTAAAGTGAACAACTACATCACAATATAGTACATAAGTAAAGTGAACAACTACATCGCAATGTGGACAAGTACACAAGAAAAGTGAGCAACTACATCAAAATGTGGACAAGTACACAATTAAAGTGAGCAACTACATCGCAATGTGGACAAGTACACAATTAAAGTGAGCAACTACATCGCAATGTGGACAAGTACACAAATAAAGTGAACAACTACATCACAATATAGTACATAAGTAAAGTGAACAACTACATCACAATGTAGACAAGTACACAAGTAAAGAGAACAATTACATCACAATGTAGACAAGTACACAAGTAAAG